ATCATTTTCTTGTTATATCACTGTTATCAGGAAAATGCAAATTAAAACAACAATGAACTTTATTTACGTGTATATTCAATGAGCAAAATCCAGAACACTGACAACACCAAATGCTGGTGAGGATTTGGAGGAGCAAGAACAGTCATTCATTGCTGGTGGGAATGTAAAATGATACAGCCATTTGGAAGGCTTATTGGTTTCTTACAAAACTAAACATATGGTTACCATATGACCCAGAAATCATGCTCCTTGATATTTACCCATAGGAGTTAAAAACTTATATCCATACAAAACCTGCACATGGCTGCTGTAACAGCTTTTTCATAATTGCCAAAGCTTAGAAGCAACCAAGATGTCCTGCAGTAGGTGAATAGATAAACTGTGGCACATCCAGGCAATGGAATTATTTAGCCTTATGAGGAAATGAGCTATCAAGCCATGAAAAACACAGAGGAACCTTAAATACATATTACTAAGTGGAAGAAGCCAATCTGAAAAGTCTACATACTGAATGATTCTATCTATATGACATTCTGGAGAAGGTAAACTTATGGCTGAAATAGAAAGACCAATAGTTGCCAATGATGAGATGAATTTGCAGAGCACAGAGTATATTTAGGGCAGTGAAACTATTCTGTACAATATTACAATGGTGGATACATGTCATTATACAGTTGTCCAAACCCGTAGATTGTACAACAGCAAGACTGAATCATCACATAAACTATGGGATTTAGTGGTTATGAGATGTCGATGTAGTTCATTCTTGGTAACAAATGTACCACTCTGGTGAGTGATATTGACAATGGGGGCTGACTATTTTGTGTAGGGGTAGAGGGTATAAGAAAAATTGCTGTACCTTCTCAATTTTGTTTGGAACTTTAAACTGTTCTTGAAAATTATAACAGAACAAAATAAAACAATAATAAAATGATGCAAGTAAATTATATTTAATTGGAATCAGCATCTTATTGCTTTATAATGTGATAGTGCTTCATTTTTGGTAGTTCCAGCTAGTGATAAAATGTTTATTTCACAGTGAGCACTAGAAATTCCGTAAAGACAGGGACTGTGTCTCTTATGTTCATAATGAATATCCACGATTAGCAAATGCCTGGTTTATCAGAAGGGCTCAACAGTGTTTGTTGATAGTGTTCATTAAGTTTATTATTTCTGTTAAAATTATGTGCCAAAAGATAGTCATAAATAACCAGAATTCTTTAAATTAGAATGGCTCCTTTTTTGTGGCTAGAGGTTGAAGAAGAAAGTCAGAGAGAGGAAGAAAAGAGTGGCATTATTTAAGTCATGGAATTCAAGTCAGTTCACCCAGTCCAACAGTCTGGACTGCAAAGAAAAAGGAGAAGGAGCAAAAGTGTTGGAGAGATGGAAAGAGGAAGAAGAAGGGAGAAAGGGAAAATGAGATAGAGCAGCAAAGAGAAAACTCTTCTCTCATTAGAGGGCTGCTGGGCCTCCTTTTACTTAAAATCCCTTTAAAAATTAAGAGAGAGAGAGAGAGAATATCATTCCCATATATACTCAGATTTTAAGATTTTTGTACATAAACTCTCCACCCACTAGTACAAAATTAAGAAGGATACTCTTTTTTAGCCATCTTTTTAAAGGTATAATTGACGTATAATATTAGCTTCAAGTACAAGAACACAGTGATTCAATATTTGTATATATTGTGAAATGATCATCACAGTCAGTCTAGTTAACATCAGTCATACACAGAATATTTTTCTTGTGATGAGAAGTTTTAACATTTACTCTTGTAGTAACTTTCAAATATGCAATGAAATACTAACTATGGTTAATAAAAATGGATTCTTAATACTCCTTTATGGGTAGTAATTTTATATTCCATAATCTAGTATGAATGTACAAATATTACAATATTTATAAAAATATATACTAGGACCTTACAGTTACTATGCTGACCATTACCGCCCCCCCAGTTTTCTAGCTACTGACTTCCAAATCACATGCCCTTTACAAAATGCTCCCACTGTTTTACTTACCTAGTCTTGTCTTCATCTCCAAAATTCTGTCACCAAATTTCTTTTTTCACCTTATAGAATCTTGCTGATTTTCTCTTAGTTTTACTTTCTTTCCAGGATTTCTTCTCCTTGGTTTGTCACTATAGATTTCACTATTTTTGCATCTTAAAATAACCTCTCAGTTTGAAAACAAACTAATGTGGTTTTGTCTTCCAGCCTGGACTCTGATAGTTTCTATCTGAGTATCACTTCTAGTTACAGTCTTAAAGAAAGTGAGGGGTGAACCAGGTGGATACGTGGAGGAAGAATGTTCTAGGCAGAGAAAGTAGTGAGCGCAAAGGCAGAAAGCTGGAGGCTGTTAGTGTTGGAGGAATCCAGGAGACCAATGTTACTCTAGCGGAGTTTGTGAGCCATAGCAGAGTGAAATGAGATGGGAGAGGTAGCAGCCAGTGGGAGCGCAGATTGTGGCAGGTTTTTTCAACCACTGGATTTTACCTTGAGAGAGCTGGGAAGCCCGTGTAGGATTGTGAACCAAGAGCTATAACTGGAAATATTTGAACACATCACTGAGCCTATTCTCAATCAAGGACATAAAGGAGTCTGGTAAGGATGGAGGGTTCTCTGTCCAACATTCCTGAACAGTAGAAGAGAATTGGCTGAATGAATGATTTACAGAATTATCAAGCAAGGTATACATTTACATTGATGGTTAAAGTAACTTTAGAGTCCACAGATAAAACAAATAAGCAGTTGCTTTCATGTTCCTTACAATATTCTCTATCCTTTCCATATGTTAATTACTAATTGGATGATATTTGGCAGATATGTATGTACCTTATTAGCATCTTTCAATGACCAGAAATTATCATTAATTTTAATGATTTATGCTTTATATTAACCTTAATTATACCTGCTTAGAATACTAATTCTGCTAGTGTTTGTTGAACATTTGCTTTTAGGGCATAATACATAGGTTAAGGGCATTTCTATCTATTAATGTAGTTACAAAGCCATAATTTTAATATATGCATCAGTCTGATTTGGTGAGAAACAGCTAAAACAGATTAATTCAAGGAAAAACTAATAAAGGTACATGTACTTTTTCACAGGGAAATATATTTATTTAAACATAAAAGTAGAAGTGTCATTCTTTGTGTTTGGTTTTCCCTAGAATCAGATCCTGAGATAAGAATTCAAATACAACTAAGTTTTTTGGAAGTTGATCCCAGGAAATAGTCTTAGTGGAACAGAGAAGTGAGACAGAAAAGTGATGGAAGTTAAAAAAAAGTGCATTATCAAGTAGATTACCATGTAGGCAAGTGGAGCTTAATCTTTCTAGGGAACAGTGTAGCCAACTTGCGTCAAGTGCTGGGTCTTTATCCACTACTTTCCCCAATCAGTGTAAGAGGGCAGCTCCAATGGGAGCCTCAGTTCCCCGGCACTTCTGAATGAATGATTGCTGCACATGTGGACAGAGCAGAGTCCTGCAGCCCAAAGGAGTAGGTAATTAAATGAGATGCTGGCCATTCATCTGTAGATGGACACTTAGGTTGCCTTCAGATCTTGGCTATTGTGAATAATGCTGCAATAAACATAGGAGTACATTTATTTTTTGAATTGGTGATTTTTGTTTTCTTTGGGTATATACTCAAAAGTGGGATTATTGAGGCATATAGTATTTCTATTTTTAACTTTCTGAGGACTCTCCATACTGTTTTCCACAGTAGCAATATCAATTTATATTCCCACCAACTTACATGTGGAATCTCAAAAAACAAAACAAATGAACAAACAACAAAAAGACCCTCCCAAATAGACACATAAATACAGAAAACAAAATTAGTGGTTGTCAGAAAGGGATGGGGTGGGGCGGAAAATGGGTGAAATAGCTGAAGAAGATAAAGAAGCACAAACTTCTAGTTATAAAATAAGTCATGTAGGCAAAAAATACAACTAGGGTATATAGTCAATAATATGGTCATAACTTTGTGTGATGACAGATGGTACCCACATTTATTATGGTGAGCATTTCATAATGTATTTAATTTTTGAGCCACTGTGTTTTTGCACCTGAGACTAATATAATAGTGTATGTCAATTTTAAAAAAGATAAGAAAAAATGAGAGGTGGCAATTGAAAATTAGGTAAGCATGCAAAAAAATGTAAGGGACAAGATAATATGGATGGGGGCACTAATAGCAACTGCTCTAGTTTGCTTATTTGAAAAGAGAAATCAGAGATATACAATAAATGAATTTGTTTATTTTACTGCTGTATTTCAGGATTCAGAATAGTTACTTGAATTTAGACAATCACCAAATATGTCTTGAGTATATTAGTGTGTGATGACCATCCACCTCAATTTAATGAATGAGTTAATAAGGAGGAAGTTGAAGTCTGTGTGGTTAGTTTCTGTTAAGAACTAATGACCTTTGTCATTAGACCTTTGTTATTAGACCTTATTTCAGAGCTAAACCTGTTCTGAGGCAGACCCTATCACTGATGGGCATGATCTGATTGACAATCAGCTTCATGGGGCTAATCCATCATATTCAGAGTAAAGACTTAATATGATCTTTTTGAAAAGAAAAATTTATGGAGGACATTTATAACATGTATACATCAGTTTGCTTCATCATTATCTAAACCCTGTTAATGTCCAGTATGGGAGATAGATGAGGGCTGGCCCAATTGAGTGGTTTTCTATGGTAACCTTGAACCAGGAGTGCTCCCTTACCTAGGAAGTAGAAATCCGTGGAGTCAGTGAGCAAAAAGTAGACATTGTTCAAATGGGACAAAGTCTGAAGTAGAATAAACTGTCCAAAAGGGAATCACCAATTCAGTAGTTAGAATGTGGATAGAAGCCAAAAAGAGGTGAAAAAATCAAGAGAACTAATAAAAATAAATATTAAAATGGTCAGTAAAATTCAGGTTCCAAGAAATCCTGCGATGAAAGCTTTGTCTTATGAGTGATTTGATGTATGTATGGGCCATGGACAGTGGTCCTGTAGAGCCGGTCAGAGGATGCCAGTGTTCTCTTCGGGCAAGTCCCTATTTGACCATGTGGAGTGTGGGATGGAGAAGCAGGCCCACTTCCTTCTAACCTTCCCTGGGAAGTTCACGGAGTGCTCAGCTAATCACGGAGGCTTATCACTAGACATAGAAATAAACCTGGACCTAAGGTCTCTACAAATCCCGGTGAAACTTTTAGGTAGTTTGTACTTGATCTATTATTGATGAAGAAAATATTTTCTTTTATCTTTTTTTTCCCCCTTTTAGTTTATGAAATAATGTTTGCTAAGAGAGAATATTGGCAAGGATTAGAAAGAAGCAAGCTCCTCAAGTACTTCAACGACTGTGGTCATTTCCCAACCCAGCAGCAAATTGAAAAGGTTTGGGACCTGGTCCATAGAGGCAAGTAGTTTCTCAGGTCTTTTATTCTTTTCCTCTACCATTCCCTTTCCTTCTTTACTTCACTGTTTTCCTCCTTTATTCCTTCCTTCCTTCCTTCCTTGTTTCTCTTACCTTTACTAAGCATACCTAACAAATCCTTTTCGTCGAATTTTTAAAATCTAATTTTAATATATATGAAAGAAGAGATTTAAAGGACAGGTTAAAAAGAGCTAAGTTTTTATTAGAGGGGTGGAGGTGATATTAGCTTTTTAAGATTTCGGTATATTTTTTATGCAAAGTTACATCTAACTGAGTGTATTTTAAACCACTTATTTTAAATACTGTTGCTGAAAAGCTTTTCCTCAATAGTTAGATTTGGTACTCAAGGACACAGCCAAGTTTTAATGTTTAAACATTGTAAACTATTACAATACAATACAGTTTTACAGTCAGAACATCATTTTTTTTTCTCAACAGTAAATAAATGCATAGTATTGCATGAGACTATTTAATAATTTAATTGGAGCAACATTCCTCCCTTCTCTAAAGATTAGTTAGTGGGTGAAAATTGTTGCCAAGAGGTGGGAAATCTCAGTAAATTTTCCTAAATTCCATAAGGTTCTTCTCGGCACTTCTTTCCATGACCATACTAATGCTTGCTGCCATATTTAGAGATGGTGGATGACATATCCATGATTTAATTGAGAATAAAAGGTGAACAAACAAAAGAAAACAATCAGGACCTTTCTTAACAGAGGAGAAAGGGCTCACATGTCAGCGGGAAGGTGTGATTAAGGTTAGAGTGACAAAGTTCAAGCTTCACTATAGGTTTGAGGTTCTCTTACTTCATTAGTTCTTAGTGTAAATTTACCTGATTCTTTACCTCTGTACCAAGAAAAAAATGAAGCAAAATAGAATCAATCATTTCAGAAACTTATACTGATTAGCATTAATAGCTTAAAATAAAATTTTTAAAAAACTGATAGTTTCATAGCAATATTTTCTTCTATTAATTATTTTGGAGTATATCATAAAGGCTTAGATTTAGAGCATGGCTCAGCTCACCTGAGTTTAATTAATTCCTGGCTGTACCTCTTACTAGCTAGCTGTATGTCTTTGGACAATTTATTTATCTCTACTTGCTTTGTTTTTCTCAACTATAAAAGGAAGATGATACTATCTAAGTCATTGGAAAGTTATGAGGTTTACATGAAATAATTCATGTAAAATATATGTCCCAATATAAGTGCTTATTGTTTGCTATTATTATTCTTAAATAACTCTTAAGTATACTTATTTTCCTAACTTTTTTATTTTGAGAATGTTTAAATGTTGAACCTATTGTAAAATGACTCATTTTTATAGAGGTTTTTTTGTCCTTCATTGGTTTCCACCTTTATTATCTCTTTTTTAAACATTTTTTTAAATTAAAGTATTGTTGACACATAATCTTATGTTGGTTTCAACTTCACAACACAGTGGTTCAACAGTTAGCCATATTATTAAATCCTCTCTCCCTCTAGTGCGGTTACTGTCTGTCAGTGTAGAAAGATGTTACGAAATCATTGGCTACCAGATTATCTCTTTTGATTGTCATAGTGAGCTGTGTGCTAGATGAGGTGCTTTGCTCATTTATGCTCAATTTACAGATGAGAGAACTGAGACTTAGAGACTTTGTTAATCTCATGGAGCTGGAACTTTATCCCTAATCTGTTCAAGTCAACTTCAGTACTCTTTCAGTTTTACCATGGGGAGACACTTTAAAAACCAATGTTATAAAAACATAATTAGAGGGACGATTAAAACATTCTTGACAGCAAGTACTGCCTTTTGTTGATCTGTTCACAGACCTAGCTGAATGACCTGCAATATAGCAGGTTTTTGGGAAGTGACTGAGTCTCTTAAATGTCTTAATTAAAACTAGAATTTTCAAAAGAAAATGTAGTCCCCAAACATATTGTTTTTATGATAATGCCTAAAATTGGAAAGCTTTCCTTTATAGAAAGGAGCCACTCTAACATAATCTTAAATATATCCAATTACTTTCTCTATCCAGTTGAAAAAATTCTTTTGGTCCATAAGAAGCTCTCATTTACAATGGAAATATTCTAAATAATGTCAAGAAAACAGAAAATTCATGGGACATAGAGCTAAGTTAATTATTTTCTACTTGCTTCTGGTATATATTCCATTTTTAAGAAAATCTGATTTTATGCATTTTAGATTGTCAGTCATCCTCATTCATACTGACTTCTTTGATTGTGGATAATAGCTCCGGATGTGCAACCTACGCATTTATTCATCTTCTAGAATATTTCACTTAACACATATGTAGTTAATTCAATTGATTAACTTCTTCAGTGTATGACACCAAGTAGGTCAAATTCCTAAAACTGTATGTATGCAGGTATTTTTAGCTTTTTTTTTTTTCACTCTTATCACTATGGTAACAAAAAAAGTTGTGACTGAGGATGTGATTTCTGTCTGAAATCTTCCTTTGGGAGAAAGAGGCAACTTTAGGCTTCATGTATATAGGCTGATCTTAAAAACTAAAGATTTTGCAAACGTGAGAACCTTACTTTCTATTCATTTAAATCTCAATGAATAAAACTAGTAACAGTAGAATGGTATACCTGAAAGTAAGAAAAATAATACATTGTGACTCAATATTATTTATTCTCACATCTGCCTAAATTTTAGAAATTGAACTTTGAAGATTTTCTAGTATTTTTTCCAACATGTAAATAAAACTTAGTTTTAGTATATTTTGTGCAATAAAAATGAACAGGAAACAACAATGAAAACAAGTCCATTTTCACTGTGGAGCCTTAGACAAAAATCTTAACATCAGCAACACAGAAGTTACTTATATATTATTTAACTATGCCCTTGAAGAAATTGTTACCTGAGATAGAATGTGGATTATTTTAGACTCTGACTAGTTAGTGGCAAACTGGAACTAAATTCCTGCAAGATCTCACATCTGAGTACACTCAGAGTCATTTTTTTATTGACTGCTTTTTTCCCTGAGTTTTGGTCATACTTTCCTGTTTATTTGAATATTTCATATATTTTGTTGTTGAATGCCAGACATTTTAGATAGTATGTAATTGCAAACATGGATTCTTTCCTCTCCCATTCAAAGGGTTTATTTATTTTATAATATGCCTGGACTTAATATGTGAAATCTGATCTGTCTCCCACAGATGTCTGACTATTCATTTCTCTGCTTAGTTATTCTTTTAATGTTTTTTTGGGAGTGACTTCTCAGAAGGTCATCTCTCTATCTGAATAGCAGTTAGCAGCCTATGATTGGATAGAAGATTTATTTAAACACCTTGAGTCTTTACGGTTTCCACCCTCTGCCAATGGATCTGTAGGTGGGCTGGGGAGCACAGCCTGTGGGGAGCACAGCCTTTTCTTTTACTTTCCATGGGCACTCTTGGGTCTTCCCTGTTCATTTACATTGTTTCCTAGTCAGCTTGGATGTGTATAGAAGTTACCAAGCCCCTCTATGCCTTTCTCATTTTGAAATCTTCACATTACATTTTTGGCTGGCTTGTGGTTACCCCAACTGTTAAATTTCCAGCTGGCATATGGTTGCCCCAACTTTGTGAACCTCAGGCAGGCAGAGCTTCAGCTTCTCTCCATTTATTTCTTGTCAAGTGTGTTATATATACTGTCAGTATCAGTGGGTAGGGATATTTTTCTCACCTCTTCAAATCAAGTTAGCGTCCTATGATGGCTGGTTATGAAGGTAATTAATAATCCTTATTTTAGGCATTGATGTTGGTTCAGGTCTTCATACTCTCGTCACGATCCAGTTCAGCTGAGTCTATGATCCGGTGGTTTACATCTGTTCACTAGAGAAGGATAGAATGCTAAAAAATATGGAGGCAAGTAAAGGAGTAGAATTCTTACCACAAAATCACGTTATCAGAAATTAAGTGGTAAAAATGATTTAGGCATGTGGTCAATGTCAGGTGTCTGGCACCTATCCTAATGACTAAATAATGAGAGTATTCTTTCTACTATCACATCTGCCACAGTAGAGAAAGAGTCCCTGCCATCAACTATTTTAGCAGAATGTATTTGTGTTATATGAAATGGATCAGTTGAGAAGTGTTTGATGTTTGTCTCACTTGCTCTGATGAGTCTATTGCTAAGGTCCCATGAATCTACAGACTGTATGCATTACGAAGACATGGATGTTTCGTCAGTGGTGTCTATAGCCCTTGTGTAGCAAGATACCATTTTTTCCCCTGGTATTTTAGTAGATATTCTTTAAAGCTCTCAGTAATGTAAGAAGTAAAAACAAATCCTCTTCTCTGATTGATAATTTCAGGAATAAATCACAAACTGAAAGGAAATGCATTAGAGCATACTAAGTGGATGCCTTCCTTAGTTGTGGCAAGAATCTTTTTTGATAGTGTTGTGTGTATATTCAACAATCACCTTTTGAGCACTTAATATGTTCTGTGAAATGTAATGTGGTTCAAAAGGTCTCAGAAACTTCATAATAATTAGAGGAACTTGTACACATGTAGCTAATTACAGTGTTGTAAATATTTGTACAATCACACATGTATTGAGTGCTATGATGATATAGATATTAATTATATCTTATGTTTGGAAACCAAAGAAGGTTATAGACACTGTTTCATCATTGTAGGATGAGTTAAGTAGATAATAAAAGAAGACAAGGGTTTAACACATAAAAAAAAATTGTGTGCAAAGCAAATTAGAATTTTCAGGGCAGCTGGTAACACTAAATAGAGGAAAGTCTTTCTTCTGGTGGGTAACTGGAGGAGGTATAATTTTACTAAAACTGCTAACTAAAAGATGCTAGACCACTCATTGAGATCTAGTTGACTGTGGTTGCTTTTCCCTATAGGATTCTTCTTTTTTTGAGTCTCTTATTTATCTGTCATCTGCCTGTTCGGAAATGGATGTTTCCAAATGCATAATGTAAATTAGATTTTAGATATAAATCCATCTTGTGTCAGTAGGATCTATTTAAA